ATGCAGATGTGTAGAGAATTGCGCCAGAAACATTTAGAGGTATGCCACGTCAAAATCCGATTAAGATAACTTGAGTTATGGAGTTTTGAACTTCAGCCTTGGGACATTTCTTACTTTTTTGAAATTCTTCAACATCATAACATCAAAAAATGACAAAAAATTAAAAAAAAAATAAATTTCTAAATTTGAATGCAGATTTTTAGAGAATTGCACCAGAAACATTTAGAGGTATGCCACTTCAAAATCCGATTAAGATAAGTTGAGTTATGGAGTATAGAACTTCAGCCTTGGGTCATTTTTTAATTTTTTTGAATTTCTACAACATCAAAAATCACAAAAATTACAAAAAAAATTTTTTTCTAAATTTGAATGCAGATGTGTAGAGAATTGCGCCAGAAACATTTAGAGGTAAGCCACGTCAAAATCCGATTAAGATAACTTGAGTTATGGAGTTTTGAACTTCAGCCTTGGGACATTTCTTACTTTTTTGAAATTCTTCAACATCATAACATCAAAAAATGACAAAAAATTAAAAAAAAATTAAATTTCTAAATTTGAATGCAGATTTTTAGAGAATTGCACCAGAAACATTTAGAGGTATGCCACGTCAAAATCCGATTAAGATAACTTGAGTTATGGAGTTTTGAACTTCAGCCTTGGGACATTTCTTACTTTTTTGAAATTCTTCAACATCATAACATCAAAAAATGACAAAAAATTTAAAAAAAATTAAATTTCTAAATTTGAATGCAGATTTTTAGAGAATTGCACCAGAAACATTTAGAGGTATGCCACTTCGAAATCCGATTAAGATAACTTGAGTTATGGAGTTTAGAACTTCAGCCTTGGGACATTTTTTAATTATTTTTTAATTTCTACAACATCAAAAATCACAAAAATTACAAAAAAATTTTTTTTTCTAAATTTGAATGCAGATGTGTAGAGAATTGCGCCAGAAACATTTAGAGGTATGCCACGTCAAAATCCGATTAAGATAACTTGAGTTATGACCAGCCTTGGGTCATTTTTTAATTTTTTTGAATTTCTACAACAAATATCAGAAAAATTACAAAGAAAAAATTTAAAAATAAATTCGAGTTCGCCGACTATCAGATAGCGGTAACTCAGCTAGTGGCAGTGCGAAAGAGATATTTCATAGTATTCTGGAATATCGGTACAAACTGCGAATAAATTTAAGAAATTAAAAATAAAATGTTCATAAGTGTGCGCGTGACTTTATATACTTTTATTTACTTTATATGGTCGGAATCGTTTTCTTGTGCCTGTTACATACTTTTCAACGAATACTTTTACTCTACGAGTAACGGGTATAAAAATGTAGTAGATTCAAACACTCCTCTTCATACTAACTAGGTTTGCTCTCTTAACTAAACTCATTTTGGCAAGCAAACTAAGTTAACTTCAAATGTAGTATTTTTTAAATTAATAAGTTTCATACTTTCTCCATTAAATGTAGGTACGGTTTTTACCAGTGTATTGGGGTTACGTGGCCAGCAGACCGGATGCAGTTTGTGGTGTGCAGTTTTTGTTACCGGACCATTTCACGGGTACGTCCACACCCAGACCCACATCAACACACCCACACACACTCGTTTAGTTAAAAGGGAGGAGGACACATGGTGCAAAACAAAATCAGACGAATGCTAAATTACGTGCAAAGTTTACAAAAACATTTGGATTCTCCCAAACTGATGCCGCATTCCGTTCCCGTTCCCTTGCCACAACTAATGTTGCTTAATTATTTGCAGTCAGTACGGTCGGTATAAAAAAAAGTTCTTCAAAATTTAAGAATGTCAATGGCAGTTAAGCCAACAACAACTTGGATAAGGAAACAAAAATAAAGGAAAAAATATCTACTAGTAATTTTTATTACAATTTCTTGTTAGTCTTTGATTAAATGGTCACATGTCTATTATTGATGTTTCTTATTCTTAAGCTTGTACGTGTTGTTTTTGATTGCGAGTATACAAATAATTTTAAATGTACACATATCGGTTCAAATTTTCCGCCATCCGACAGTGCTGCCAATGCCGAATTACACATTCTAGTTTAGTTTCGCACCTTTTGCGGTACACTGAGATTGCGGCTCGCCCGCATTGGAATATCTCAAATGCGGTCACACTGGCCTACAACGTGTTTACAAAACGTTGTTTACTTAATTTACCGCGAATAGCACAAAATGGTTGAACTGGAAGGCTATGTAGGTAAGTAGCCAAAGACACCTTACCAATGCTGCTACTAACTGAGCGCCCCTTGCAGTGGTGCCGCTGCGCACTTCGCCCCAGGCCCAACATTGCCCCAGCGTCTACATGCGGGAGCACTTCATCCGGCTGATGGATCCCAACAAACCCAAGGGACGCACACTCTTCCTGATCAACGTGCCGCCGTACGTGACGGAGGATAGCCTGCGCATGGTCTTCGGCCGGGCGGGGAGCATTGAGGCCGTGGAGTTTGCCGCCAAACCGGGCAAGGAGGAGACCATCAAGTGGTACAAGGGCACCGGCGAACCCTTCTCCACCACAAAGCCGCCATTCATCTTCAAGGTGGCCTACATAGTGTTCGAGAAGAGCAGCAGCATCGGCAAGGCCCTGGCTATGCAAAGCATCGACCTCTTCAACAGCAGCGGCGAGTGCATCATCAAGACCGGCATGGAACTGTGGCACGAAGAGTACGAGAGCAATTACATCCTGGATGCGCGGAAGACGAAGCTACAGATTAGCAAGTACATGGCCGGCTACGACAAGAGGGAGCGGGCGGCGGCGGAGGCGGCCAAGACCGGAGAGGCCGACGCCGACGGATGGGTCACCGTGGGCAAGGAGGGCCGCAACGCCGGCTTCGAGCAGAAGGCGTCTGTGATTGGACGACTGGAAGAGAAGGTGGCCAAGGGTAACAAGACCAAGGAGCTGAAGAACTTCTACACCTTCCAAATACGCGAGAGCAAGATGCAGAACATCGTCGAGATGCGAAAGAAGTTCGAGGAGGACAAGCATAAGATCAAGCTGCTCAAGCAGTCGCGTCGCTTCAAGCCGTTTTAGTCAGTACGCATAGGTTAAGCATCGAATAAAACTTCTTTACGACACCAGAACGACCCCGACTGCCAGATCCAGGATCCAACGGACCGACCGCAGATAAATCCTCATAAATTCGCCGTTGCCATTGACACGGCCGCGACCAAATCCTGGCCAACGCCACGACAAAGTCCCACAGCAATGCCATAACTTATACCCACCGCAGTGAGGGGCATAAAAGCTTATAAAAAGCGAGCAACAAGCAAGCCAGCGTGGGGAATGGAGCTCGGCCAACAACCGCTGCGCTTATTGTGTGATAATCACATATGGTTTATGTTAATTTGAGAAATGATAAAAATATTTCGCTTATCATCTTTAATCATAATCGTCGCTACGCCGTCGTCGCGCCCGAAACGCACTCTGGAACTCACTCGCCCAGTCTGCGCAGCACGCGATCCCTCATCCCCGATCCGCTACAGGCATCGCTGGCTCAGCTCAGGTCCGCTGTTTCGGCGGCGTGTCAATGCAGGCAACTGGTGGGATGCAATAAGGTCTTTCGACGGATGCATTTGATTGTAACAGAAGTGTAAGTCAGCCAAACTATTAAGATTACAATTGTGTTGTTCTGTTACATGCCCACGATTTAAAAGATAACCCTTAGAATTACCAAAGTTTCATTTGGTTGCGCAGTTCTTTGATAAAAATATGCGATACATAACTTTATCTTCAAGGGATTGCAAGGGTGAGTTTCTGATTGTTATTGAAAGTGGGTACCTTCAAATCCGCCCCTGATCTGTGACTAATATGTAGCGCGTAGGTCTTCGAAGCGATCGGGACCGTAGGTAACACGAGATTTGGTGGAGACTTACAAACGAGGTACGCGTCGGATAACGCATGCTGACGATGATCGCCGGGTCCTCGAGTCGAGTCTTCGTCGGGTTTGGCTGTGGATATGGGAATGGTAATGGTAATGGGAATGGGAATGGGTATGGGTATGGGTATCAGTATGGTGTGGGTATGTGGCTGTTGTTATTGGTGGCCTACTGTGGAGCCTGGAGACAGCAACACATTCATAATTTCTTCCGATTCGTATCGTTTAAACATTTTAAATTGATTAAAATGCGATAAATCATAATCGCCAACGTTGGCTCGAGCGCAGACACCATGGAACTTGGTAACTTGGGAAGTCGGCAACTAGGGGACTGGCGGACTGGCGGACTGGGGAGCTGGGGGACCGGGTACCGCCTCGGGATCATGTCCGGGTGATGGAACGATTTATGCGCCTCGAACATAATAAAGTGTTAACGGAACGAGTTATTAAGGTAGTCTGAATGGGCCTAAGTTAATAAAGGCCAAAGGCAATTTGCATGGGCAGTGTGGCAGCGTGGCAGCGTGGCTGCGTCTTGGGTTGCATCTAGGCATAGCTCTGGCCCGGGTCTCAATCTCGGCCAGCTATGCTCTCCCACCGATCGACGGACACACAAGATGTCGGGAAATATAACATAAGCCGACCACACGTACGTCTCCCATGCCGCACAGCTGGACGCCGTGCCCAGAGCTCAAAACTCGGAGCTCAGTCCTCAGACGCTGGACGAGAAAAAGCTGGAACGCCGTGTCTTGTGAGCAGAACAATCAATAAATTTGAACACGTGAGCGGACGCGAATGCGGACGGCTCTCGACGGGAATGTACCGATCCTACAGTCCCCAGTCCCCAGTCCCAAGTTCCCCCCAAAACAACAGCCACAATTCAGAGCGATAAGTGATCAATGCGCCGTGTCGACTGATTGGGCAGCATCGGTGATCCGAGAGGTGGGGCAGTCGAAGGTGCGGGATTTTAACTGGGGGAGCCACCAATTTGTGCTCATCGTCGATGCCGCAGAGAAAGTGATTTAAGGTGATCAGTAAAATGTAAAAATTGCAGTCGAGTTCAACTACTTTACCTAAAATGAAGCAATAAGCTTCCGTAGAATTTACTTTATTGCTCGCAAAGCGATACACAACTTCAAGTTGAACAGGTACAGGTTGTAGCGCCTGGAACCAGCGACTATCTCGCGATACCGCCTCACCGGCGTCCTGGACATGTGCAGCTCCATCAGATCCCAGTCGTTGACGTCGCGGAACACGGAGCGAATCATGTGCATGCGTCCCAGTAGCTCCGTCTCCCGCAATCCCTCGTACCTCCGTCCAGTGCGTGCCCGGAATGTCTTGTAGACCTCGCTCTGCTGCTTCGTCTCCGTGGCCGTTTGCAGCTCCTTCCTGTACAGCGCTCGAATTCCGCGGCCCAGGTGGCGAATGTGCTCGAAGTTTCGCACGTTGAGTGCCACCAGGGCAACGGCGTCCAGATTCAGCAGCTTGTGACCATCAATGTAGTTCTCCCGAAACGTTTGCTGTAACGTAGGTATAGGTAGCATTCCACCAAAAAAAGTGGGTAAGGATCTTTGGTCACCTCGTACTCGGGATAACCGAAGTTGCGCAGCCAGTCGGTCACATCGTTGATGCTCCACTTGAAGACCTCAGTGCGGGCTTGGGAGTCCACGACGGCGGCGCAGAGATTGAAGAGCGAGTCCGGCGAGGCCTTGAAGGGCAGCGGCACGTCCTCCTTGTCGTACTCCACGTCCGGGAACATGTAGCTGGGATAGCGGAAGCAGAACTCCTCCTCATCCTGTGGCGGCTCGCAGATATCCGGACTGTCCATGCCACCTGCACTGTGCGGCAGTGGGGACGGAATGGAGGAGCACCTGGACGCTGTGAACGACTCCATTCGAGTGATGGGAGCGCACTGTTCCTTGGCCAAAGTGAATTGAGTTGCCCCGCAACGTTTTGGTTGCGGTTTCCAGCGGTTCCTCAAGGATAAGTGGTGTTCGTGTTCGTTTACATAGTTTGATTGCGTTTCCCCTTCATTTGTTGTATGCCCTATAATTTTCCGGGAAAAGTTGTTGGCTACAATCACTGGGCGCCAATTCAGGCGAAAGTTGCACTTTCAATGGGCTGGTGGAGTTTAAGCCACTTTGGTTCCTTTTAAAAGCATTCTGTACTTTCGAAGGTATCCAGGCCATATCCTGGAATGTATCTGATTCTTTTTACCAGTATAGATGAAGTATTAGTATTATTTCGCTTTCACTTTGAAGAGGATAAAAGTGTCACCGACTGGCGGTGGATTTTCCGCTCCCATTGCCTTCGGCTGCATTTGCATATCCCACATTTTCTGGGTCACTTTGTGGGCTTGTGGTGCTAGGGTGTTTTTGGCACCAAATCCGCCCGCTTGGAGGGAACTTTGTGCCGGAAAGTATGCTATCTGAAGGCAGTCACGACAATTTTCCTATTAATAACGCCAGATTCGCTCCGCAATTTACACAATTCCACTTAAGCTTTCCACCCCGGAATCCTGTTCGTGTTCCGTTTTGCGGGTTGCCGCTTGGGGAATGCGGTTTTTGATTTATGGCCACCGGCACGGCACTGTTACCCACTTCCCCGAGCGCAGACAGCGTGGAGCAGGTGGAGTTCGCGGAGATCACTCAATCCCATTGCAATGGAACCTACATTCCGCGGCCGCGAAAGAGAGATGCCGCATCAGCGCCACCAGCGGCGTGTCTCTGGCTCCGCCCACCACTGCGGATCGCTCGCATTGGCCAGGAGCCACCAACCACGAGCCACTCGCCACTCGCCATGGCCTCTGCGCAGGGAAACCGGAATTCGGACGGGGTGTCTGTGTCTGTGTGGGAGTGGGAGTACGGGAACATATGGAGAAATCGGTAAACAAATCTCGGCTGCGCTCGAGGAAACGATCTCCGACTGAGCGGCATGCTTGTGTGTAAACAAGCGATCTGTACGGCAAGGTATCCCATCTGTGTGTGGCCACAGTGGGATCAGGTCTATGGGAAGTGGTCTAAGTGAGTTTTAGGGAACTAATTACTGGTGGATTGGAAGAATTTTGGCCAAAATTCCAATCTTTTGTGACAATAGAGCCTAATACCATAGCTTCAGATCGAATCGCCTCTGATATCCCACCTTCCAAACGGAGTTCTTGAGATGGGAATAATGCACAATGGATAAAACACCCTGAGTATATCGAATATATGTACAGGCATTATTTGAGCCCTTACCCTTGTACTGCTCATTGGTGGCATCATGGAAGCGAGAGCATATCCTGCGCATCTCGCACTGCTTGCCCCACTGTGAGCACCAGGAACACACAATCTCAGCCAGATTAACCCCACTGCCAGCAGACTGTTCCGCGTTGGCTGGGCACCGATCGACCGGCAATCGATGGCTGGTTGAGCGTGCTCCCTGGCCGGTTCCGATCAGTTCTGAGTGGGATGTCTTGCACGCCGGTTGATCGGAGGTGAACAAGAACTGAGCAAGTTTCGCGATCGTTTTATCGGTGCCCAGCGACGGTGTTTTGGACATGATAGTGGGCCTAGCTGACTTGACGACCGTTAAAGTGTGAAATCAGATTCGTGTCCTGAGTCCGAGATTCGTAGATAGAACCATACAATCCACATATCCGAGCAATGTTACTACACGAGAGTGCCGCCAGCATGGAACAGAGTATGCCCGAGAACCTCAGCACTCACATGTACGGCGAGTGTGAAGTGAACCCAACGTTGGCACAGTCTCCCGATCCAGTGGACGACGATCATGACCTGCCCACCAAAGAATCCTGTGCCCCCACTACTATAGTCAGGTCGTCGCCGACCACAGCCACAAGCGCCACCAAAGTCAAGCTGAGCTTCAGTGTGGATCGGCTGCTGGGCTCGGAGCCCGACGAATCCCACAGAAGGAGCTCGTCCTCGCCCTCGACCAAGTCCTGCTGCGATGGCGGCATCCTCGCCTGCTGCTCCTTCCCACACTGCTTCAGCCAGGCGAATGCCGAACCCCGTAGGTTTGGACATGCTGCGCTTCCTCCGACCTTCACACCCAGTTCATCGCACCCGTACCCCTATATGGGTCTGGATAAGCTGTTCCCCAACCCGTTCATGGATTACAAATCAGTGCTCAGACCGACGCCGATTCGGGCAGCGGAACACGGTAAGGATGGGGTAACCCAAATGCGAATATCCTTCGTTGCGACCAAGATATACAGAAGATGCAGAAAAGGTGCAGAAAATAATATTTAATATTCAAAATGAACATGGTGCACAGTGCATTCAACCTTAACGTACTGATCCGTATTCAACTGGAAGTTAAGCTAATGAGATCTGAACTTGGTTAAATCAAGAATTAGATATATAGGTACTTAAGCGTATTCGCAAGATACATAGATACATTTCACATTGAAAGGAATCAGCTCCTTAGAAAAAGCAATTGTAACATCAAATTAGCAATTAGTTCGCCTCGAGCCTCTGCTGGTTCCACCAACCTAAATAATAATTTCAAAATATTTTATCGCCATGATAGCATTCTAGATAAGATGTCTCATCTGCATTATTTCCACCTCCATGTGCACTTCCAGCGCCAATAAAACTGATCAAAGCTAATCAGATATTGCGATTTGTCAATCATTCTGCATTTTCTCGGAAATATGCAGGATCTCAGGGAACGATCAAAGAGTTGATGAGGAAGCTTCGCCGTTTGCCCATCAAAATTCCGAAGCTGTTTCGCTGTTTTTTTTAATTATGGACTAGAATTATTAGCCATGTTGGAATTACAGAGAAAAGCGAGAAATGAAATTTTCGCTCAATTCGCTGAGCATTCCTGGAAACACAGAGAGGGAAAACCCAAGGCACAGCCCCAATAAATATCTCGTTTTTATTTGAATTATTAGTTTGATCTGCAGCCACATTGTGCAATATTCCTGCGGCCAACTGTTCCGCGCCTTTGGCTCTTGACGAAAACAATCCGATTGTTGAAATAGACAACAAAATAGTCCGGATTGTTTTGGGTATTTGCCTTACTTCCTGCTGTTTTTGTATATCTGGGGACGAAGACTTCTTATAACCCTGCAGGCTGGGAGCGCACTTTGATCTTGTTTATGTGAAAATGGAAATAGTGAGGAACATAATCGGTAAATGTTTCGGTTTTCGAATAGAAATTGTTCATTGTTTAACAAGCTGCTTGAGTTTTATACATATCGCCAGTATTGTACACAATTCTTATCAAGTGGGTGCTAACAATGCGAGGGCCTTAAACGATTCTCCTCAATGGATAAATTGGTTGGGAAATGTTTGAGTTACTAATTTATTTCCAAATAAATGACCACGAAATATGTAGACCTATATTAAAATGATGTTTAAATGGTACTAGCACATTAACATGATAGTTTGAATTTTTGAAGCTTATTAAAGTGAGGTCCTTGCAGATGAAAAGTAACAAGGTAACACTATTCAACGCTCGAATGAAACGAATTCAATAGTGATAGCCCTTTAAATTTCGAAAAATCCAGCACAAGGCTAAATTACGTAGCAAAATTAGCGCCAAACTTAAATAAATTACACTTCCCACATTGATGGAACATTAATGAAAATTATCATCAGTGCTAAGCGGTTTTCAAACACATTTGCTTAGCCCAAAATGGGCGGAGCAATTAGCAAGGCGAATAAATTCGACGTAGCTCAATCAACAAAAGATCGCTAAAAAGAACAGACAGCCTTTGAGAGGCTTCATCAATCCTGTTGCCACGGCAAATAGATGAAATGCAAAAGACCAAAGTGGAAAATTAAGAACAATTTATGAACAAATTACGAGTCAGTCTTTAAAAATAAACTTCAAGCTCACACGGATCGCGGAAAAAGTTTGTGGAGAGCAGTTTGTTTATTTGCTTGGGCAATTGGCCCGTCATTCATGGGCAGATACAGATAGCTATCCATCTAATAGCCCTGCCTAATGAATTGTTCCGCTGGCGAGGAGATTGGGAAACGGATGGGGCACGACTTCGACAGGTGGAGGCAACTTTGGCCCGGCCAGAGACGCGCATCTCTGATAGATTGGGCGCCACGGGTCCAACTACTGCGGCTCAACCGACTCCATTGAGGCTCGGCTGCCGTTTAGGCCAACGACGGGCAACGGCTGACCGATGGATCCCAATGATGAGTCCCAATGCCTGGCATGGATGACTGTACGGGTGAAGCTATGCGGTGTTCTTGGGGGCCGAGCCAAAGGCCAAGTATTTACACAACCACCCACTGTGGTGGCCTTTCCAGGAGGAGGCTACCCTGTGGCTGCCCGCCGTGTCCAACCTGCCGGCCCCTGCGGAATTATTCCGTGATGGATTGATTGCATCGCATCGCACATCATAAAATCATGGAGCAGCCAGATATCTGCGGCTCCTCCGCCGACTATTTGTTGCTGTTTGCCTGTCCCGCCTGGCGATGAGTAGTTTGTTGATTGTTGTTGCTCTTCTGGCTGCCGATCGATCCATCCATCGATCCATCGCTCCATCGATCGACCATTGTCTGATATGGAAATGGAAATGTCTGAACAATAATCCGGCGCCGTGCGTCTAATTAATTAGCAATTTATATGTTAATCCAACTGTTAGATGCACTTTCAAAGCGCTCGCAGATCCCTGATTAATGATGGCCCTCAGACGATTTCTTTTGGAACTTTGAAGACTCATTCTCAAGTTCCCAACAGCAGGGGAGGGCAGCCTGTGGCATTAATAATTACCACGCACTGAACGGGACTGATGTATGTAGATACCACAGCTATCGGATTAACCTTTGATGTATAAAAAACTACAAAGAATTGAGTGGAAATTGACGACAACCACAATTCGCTAAAATATATTTCAGGGATAAACAATTGAAAGAAGAACCGTGATTGATTAAGATAAGATATACTTTTGATTGTGTTGGCTGTGTTGCTAGATAAA